CCCCCCCCAAAAAAAAAGATTATTATTATTTATTTTTTTTCAGGATATTGTTTTTTTCTGGGGGAAAAAAGTAAAAAAAAAAAAATGGGCTACCATATTCTTCCACGAAAATCCCCCCCCAAAAAATAAAAATAAAAAAACTTTAATAATCTTTTTCTTTTTTTTGATTGCGGAAATGGGCTTCCATTGCATGTGGTTGGCTTTCGGTACTAATTCTGTTTTCCAATGGGCTGGGCCTGTTGGTGTACTGAATGATTTATCTAAGGGCTTCTCAGTCACTGCTGTCAGGATCAGTGCCTGGTGTACTCAGTCTGTAGTAGAGCCTATCAGATTCTGTGTTATTAGAGGCTTGTACTTTATTTGTCGATGGGATTTGGCGCAGTTATGTGGTCTCTCCTCCTCTACTTTGTCTCGTACGCTCAATGCCAGATAATCAAAATATCTGCTAACACTCTAACGCTCCACTGTTCTCTTTCAGCTACTAACTAGTGTTACAGCTATTTTTAGTTTGTGTAATTATTTCAAAAGCATACAGTATTGATAAGCCCTAACGTTACTGGTGTTTTTTATTGGTGCTTTTTAATGTTTTGATGTAATTCATTATCACACTGCAGCGAGCATCTCATCTGCCCTCTCTACACACACAGAACTAAGTCATTTACAGAGGAGAGGCAGAGACACTGAAGTGAACAAGGTGAAGGGAAGATTATTGGAGTTGATGACAATAACACATTCGCGAGTGAAAAGCCAATACTCTATCAATACATCTGTTCAACAAGCATGGACGTATAAATGGAAGCGAAACCCAATTCAATCGTCTCTGTCCACAGTCTCTCTTCTACCGCCGCTTTGTTTAAACAAGCACAGCACGAAAGCTCGGCTAAAAGCTTCTCTTTTTTTTAAACAAACAAGCAAAAACAAACGCTGTCTGTCTGTAGTCTGTTTATCTTAGTTTGTTCTTGTCAACTTCTCAGCTGGCTGAGACAAAGCAGCCAGGTGGACAGAGGACAGAAGGAATGACTGATACCATCCGTGTTCTTCATTACTGATTATTATCATGTATAAACTTGTATGTATGGTATTTATTTTATCGACATTTTAGATTTGTCTCCATTGAGATATTAATTACTTTATATCATGACTTTGATGTTGAAAACATTACTGTTGCTGCCCTAAAAAATATATTTAGTTATATCTAAATTATAAATTACTTCTAATACTTTGCTGAATTTATTTGTTTTAAAAATTCGATAAGGGAGGGGTGAGTGGAGGGGTATGTCGTTTCTTGCAACATACCCTTCTTGCTACTCTAGCCTAAATATGTTAACGAGGCAGGTGTTACACTTACTAATCCACAAAATTGATGTTTCTACCAATATCTATACATTCAAATTGCCCGCCACCTACTTCCTGGAGCTATCTGAAGTCTACGTGAATCACGTGACGGTCAAACATTTTGAACTTCCGTTGACGCAACTCTCTTTTTATGGCTCCTATATAACCGTATAACAAAGTCATAGCCAACCAACAGTTTCAGTTGAACAAACTAATAGCACATTTTGATAACTGACATTGTTACATCTTGAATCTGTTGGAACACTTTTCATTACAGCTGTTTCGTGACTGTTGTTTATTTGTATTGTAACATTACTTACAACTCGTTCTTTTAATTCCTTGCAGGACAATGCTAGTCAAGTTAGTCTTTCCCTTTGGGAATCAAGTTTTCTTGTATTGTGCAGATTATTATTCTTATTTTTTTTTTTTACTATTTTTTTTATGATATCTTAAAGTTTTCTGATTTGTAATCTCTATCATTGGATATGTTGTGTTTTATCCAATAGTTCCCAGTTTTCAAAGTTTCTTCCGCTAAAGACCAACTGTGGTTTTAACTTTATTGGAAGTTTTCAATGCAGGACCAATGCAGCAGATTTTCATAGTGGTATCACTTTACTAAAGTAAATGACCTGAATACTTCTTTCACCATTGTGAATTATGTTTTACTATGTCAAAGAAACCTACGAGACACAGACAATGTCAAAGCTACTAAGATAAATAACCAATATCAACCAAATAATAAGTCAACAAGTAGATGTGAGGCTTAAATATATTTATTGTCTACGTTTCAAGAAAAACAGAAATACAAAAAAAACTACCATTGTAAAGTTTAGACATAAGTCAAGACAACAAATAAAATGATAACACATGTTTAAAAACATTTCCCCCATCAATATTTAATATAAGCTTGCACATATTATCAGTATATCTACAAAGAAACCGCTGGCTTCCTTGTCTTTTCAGCATGTATGGGAATGTTATGTAAACACAAATGGCACACATAATGTTTCACTAACTATTCATACAGTTACAATGACTGAAAGGATATATTTCCACAGGAATCAGCATTTCATTGAACAAAGTATGTGTACAGTTTATGATCATTTTACAAATGTCTTCACTGTACAGATCATTGTAAAAAGAATGTGAGGTGTGGTGTAGTGGTTAAAAACCCCAGACCAGCTGGGGAACTTTCTTCTGCCCACATTAAGTACATTCTTTGTTTAACATACTGGAAATGGCTCATACATTACATTCAATATGTATATAAAATATTTTTTGGTGGCAGAGGCAACACAGAAAACACTAAAGACCGAATGCAGAATAAAAGAGTCGGCCTTTTATCCCGTCTTAGCAGACTGGATGAAAACATAGAAAGTTACATTGATGTAAAAATGTTCTTTGCTGCAAGAAGGTTGCATGAATTATTATCAATATGAGATCGAGCTATCAGCATGAAATGTATGCTGCTGATACCAATGCACTTTTGAAAAGAGAAAGGCATAACAGGGTCGATTCACCCTCCTGAGTTCTTCAGTAAAACATCTCAGTGACCGATTAAACAAAAAAAGAAAAATCAATGTAATCCATGTAATTCCTGCAATTCTGACAATTCAAAGCCTTTAGCTGCACATTTTTTCTTGTCACACAATGTTCCCATAATACACCCAAGCTCAGGGCCTGGACAAAGACATGCAGAACTACCATAAACTTGCTGCAAAATTTCATAACGAAATGACAGTTTAATGTTATTATCGTGAGCAGCATAATGAGCTACAAATACTCATACTCGATAGTCATTTTTAGTTCCTCATACGTTGCCTATTGATGTTTGATTCTAAATATTTACAAACATTTGTGGAACATAAACACTCTTTGCTATGGTGTTTTGCAATACATCTCCCATGTTTTTTTCGCTTATCAGGATAATGTTGTTTTGTCCATATTATATAAACAAAATAAATACATTCTACTACTGTCTGGCTAGTACAAACACTTACTTTTTGAACACAGTGTAGTAAACTCCACGAGGAAAACCGGAAGCTGTGCTTAAAAGCCCCGGAAAAAGCTATTGAATGAATCTAGATTTTTATTTTTGGTCAAACTCCTGTTTCCAAAGTGAAGAATGTTTACTTTGTTAGTGTAAAACAGCAACATTTAAAGTGTCTTAACCACAGAGGTACTGTCAAATGGTTAATGGGAGTTGTAGTTATTGGATTCAATTCTCTAATCACTGTTAGAAATTAAGTTGGCCAAACTTTATTTCCCAATATAATACTAGATGAATATTCAGCTGAGATTATGGACAGAATACTCAGCTTTCAGAAAGATGTCCTCTGTGAGAAACTAAACTGATCAATGAAAGCTAGTGGAACAAAAGCCAAACCATAAGTGGGCATGGCTTCAGCTCTGTATTGATGGATATCTTTTGGAAGCCGACATTAGTCTTTATTAGAGGAGCTGCTGTGCCACATAAGGGATTTCTGCACTGACTTCATCCATTGCCGTTATGGCCGCTGCTTGGGCAAGACATGCACACATTGAGATTTCTAATGAGATACTGTACTAATGAATATTAATTATTTTTAAACACTACAGAGAAACATGGGCACAAATCAAGGACTGTTTTTAATGAGATGAATTAACCTGAATCACAATTAATCGGTTTAGTTGACTCTGAAAAGAGTTTGTGTATGTGTGGGTGTTTCTAAGTGTGTTTGGCATTGTTTCCTTGAATCTACTCACAACAATGTATGCTGCTTCTGTAGTTGATTTGTGCATGTGGTAATGTCATTGTTGGTATTTTCCACAGGGGCGAGGTTGGCTATCGTGCCGGTCGTGGCCAGCGGACGGTCCGTGGCGAGGCCGTGGCTGTTCTCCTGCAGGGGCCACATTTCCTGCCAGGTGAGCGACGGATGATGAGGTGGGTGACCGCTGAGCAGAGGCCTCTTCTGCCTGTAGTTAGCCCATACCTGCAGAATGGTCTCTTTGAAAGGCCGTGTGGTCAGAGTGTACAGGATGGGGTTAAGGGCACTGTTGATGGGCAGAATAAAAATGACCACCCATGAGCTGATGGTACCTGCCGAGAAAGAAAAGACACAGAGAGGAAGAAGTCAAACAGAGCTGGCATATAGTCCGTTTTAAGAACATTCATTTTAACAGGGTTATGAGTTGGGAGAATACTTCAACAAAAACCCTTTTATCAATCTATTTATATAATAAATGAGAATGTATTTTAACCCAACAGGGGACATAATTAGGAAGCCACAGCTCAGCAGGTTTATATATATACAATGGATTCTGCACATCACTAATGGGCCATTTGGGTATACAGTGCAAACAGCACTAAGGTTGTAGTTGAATGCTCTTCATACAGCGATAAATACCTTTTAAAAACACCTTTAAAACTAAGTGGGAATAGCTGCTAGACCAGCTGTACCCCTCATCTCCCTGTAAGCTTGGAAGGTGGCTCTAAAATGTTACAATATATTTTACTCATGCTATTGTGTCATTGCTCCTTATGAAAGCTGAGAGCAATGAAGAACTGCTACAAAACATGTATAATAAATGGAATAAAGATATTGGTATGGTAGATAAAAAAATCAAATAAAATATTACCACTAATTAAAATTTAGTTTTACTTAATTAATTATAACTGAATGACAAGAATATAGTTTAAAATGTGGCACTCAGGCTACATCCACACTAATGTTTTTGATTTAAAACAAAAACGATCTACGTCCACACAGGTGTTCCAGCACGGTTTTAGAAAGGATTTCCTTCCATACCAACACACCTGAAAAACAAATACCACATGACTATTCACGGACACTGGGCATGCGGGTGCCGTTGTAAACAGGAAGTAGATTAGTTGCTTAGTTACAGAAATTACAACAGAGTATTGTTGTCCACTTGAATAGATAAAAGGTTGGGCTACGCTAGGTTTACGCTTTTTTCTCTCTTTTTTTACGTTTACCTCGGCGTAAACGTAATAGTAGATCTGAGATTGTGTGCTTCTCTGTCAACTCTTATGAGAAAATTGATGTTGTGCTTTCCTTATAAAAAATAACTGTACTGTTGTGTAGTAACTCCAGAATCGGATAACTAAGTATCTAACAAATGGTGATTGTAAAACAGAAACGTAGTAGTGTGGATGTGGCCTCAGAGTGACTCCCTCATACATTTGGGGGGTTTGAGGGTGATAAGTATGAAAATGTGAAATTATGAATTTCCATTTCTTGTCATGAAACATATGTATCATACCCAGACCCTAATTTACTCAATTAAAAAGATAAAATAATTCTTTGTCCATTTTTATGCACATTTTCTGACATAAATCGCCACTCAATTCAATGACACACGGCAAACTTTTCAGAGTCACATTGCTAGCCTACTGAGGGCTTGTATTTGATACTTGAAACGTAGAACCAGTCGAGTATTCCTTTAAATGGTTATAGCACTTCTACTGTACCGGGAATCTCCACCTGCAGCAGTGACAGGATCTTGAGGATGAAAATGGGGATCCAGCAGAGGGAGTCCGTGATGACGATAGAGAAGAACCTTTTGGCGATGGTAACCTCTTTCTTGATGTGGTTGCTGTATTTAGTGGTCTGAGTCCCTGTTCTCTGGATGTTATAGAACATGCTTGCATAGGCTAAGACAATGATGAGGAATGCCACCAAGTTTAGACCTGCAGAGAGATATTTGGTTAATTTCTGGATTGCCATGCAACTGCTGTGGCACATATTTGCATAATTATAGCAAAGCTATGCATATGAATACAAAAATGCTCACTAAATAGTAACTGTGCTTTTACAAATAGCTTCAGAGAATGAGTGAATAAATAAAAACAATCAAGTAAACACAAGAAAAAAGTTTAAAAGGACTATTGCAAGATCAAATGCCCACCCAGGAAAATGACGATGGAGTAAACATGAGCCCAAAGTGTCTCTGGCTGCTCTGAGTGCAGCGGGAAGCAAACTCCATTAGTCCCGTAGAAGTTGCGAAATAGCCCCTTGCAGACCAGCGGCAGAAGGGCAATAATAAAGCCAAACAGCCATATCCCCAAAAGGATGGTGACAGTTCGTCTCCAGCCAGGTGTCAAGTACTGGAAAGGGTAGACGATGCAGATGTATTTCTCCAGAGTGAGGTAAGTGAGGAGAAGGACGGATACCTCAGTGGACAGCATGGCCAAAGAGCCGATGACCTGACACTGGCTGCTGTCCATCCAGGCCTGAGCGTGCCGGTTGTACTCGCCGCGGAACTTCAGATCATACGCACCAATCATGAAGAGGTAGATACCCATCAGTCCGTCTGCACCTGCAAGGAAGGAGAGTTACAAATTACAGAACAACATATTCAGAGGATTTACCGACTGTAAAGATGTCTGATTTATACGACCCTGCAAGGATGCATTCAGATCTATGAGAGGTTTAAAGTGTAACTTCACCCCCAGGTCTGAGCCTAATTCCATCCGCTTTAACACATGTTCATTCACCCATTCACACACTGATGGCAGTGGGCTACCACGCAAGGTGCCACCTGCCCTTCAGGATTAACTAACCATTCATATTCACACATACACCAATGGCACAACCTTCAGGAGCAATTTGGGGTCAAGCGTCTTGGCCAGGGACACATCGACATGGACTACTAGCGGAGCCGGGGATCGATCTTCTGATTGAAGGACGGCCCGCTGTACCACTGAGTCACAGCCGCCCCCAAAACAGTAAATGCCATGTTGAGTCATTTCCAACTCATGAAATGCCAATTTTAATAACTGTGGTAAGAAATGTCAATATTAACTCCAGCATTGATGCGTTTCATCCAAGTGCAGTCATACCATTTAGTTTACCGCTTAAAAAACATGTTCAACTGTGCAGTACCTATTTGATTAAACCTTGAGCACAATGTCTGCTGAATTTATTTGAACGCAAAATATAAACACCCAGACTTTCTCATAAAGCAGCTCTCCTTAAAGCAGTGCTCCTTAAAGGGAACCACAATGCCTTTACTTAGCGGTGACAACAGAAGCAAACCATGTACACATGGATCTTCAAAGGCTTTCGGTCTATGACAGATACTTCACCTTGTAAATCCATGCATAATAAAAAGGAACCAAGGACAAACCACTACATGCTCACATTAAGCTACACCTTCAATAAAGGGAGAAAAATGACAGCAACGAGTGCAGAGAGCATCATGCTTTGATGATAAGAAAGAAAGACAGGTAGAAACAAACTCATTGCATTAGAACTAAAAAAATATTTTACATGCCGAATATGTAGAATATAGACTATATATCTATGTATATATATAGATATATAGATAAATGTTGACTAGGCAGTAATCATGTGTCCATACTTACACAAACTTATGTAGGGCTTTATTCTGTTCACCTAGTGTAAAGACTGGGTATGCACATTTCTGCTTTCATGCATATCCTGTTTGCATTAAATCTTCACAGATGTTTTAGCATGAGCCCCAAGCCCTACATTTAGTAAAAAAGTTCATACTCAAAAAACTAAGAACCACATGTTGTTTTATCTTACTCCTATTCTCTATTCTCTCTCTGGCAAAAAGTGTTTCGCTGACAATTTGTCAGAGCTGAAATTGAACTCACAGTTTAAATCCGAGAGGAATTCTCCTCTGCTTCATCAGTCACTACTTGATGTTAAATAATGTGCTTAAATACATTACCCAAAACCCACTTGATAATAGTTCCTTTGATATGGAAACATGCAAATGCTCTTCAAAGAGCATTTTTTTAAATTCCACACAGGTATATCATCATCAAAGACTCCCTGTTTGTTTTTTATCTTAATATTGGTCCTGTGAAAATTGAAGGGACGGCTGAGGTTAAGCTTTGTTGTGCTGGATAATTCAAATTCATAGCTGACACATAACTCCAAATGTCATTCAACGTAATTATTTCGTAATTTCGTGTTTCTTTCCCCCGTGAAGCTGTTTTTAGAATTGATATTTAAGCATTTACTTATGACATACATTCAGTGTGCTCTTATATGAAATAGGAAGTACATCAAAGTAAAAGACTAAAGTTGACGTCTGGCTGACTCAACTGGGCTCAAAGTCAGCCATCTGTTGATTTACTATTAATTAGAAAAAAAAACCGAGTGTTTGGGAAAGAAAGGACAGATAAAGAGATGGTAAATAATAATGAGTAATAAATGTGTGAAATGACTCTTGTTCCGGCTCTAAACCACAATCTCGGTGACTCAAACTTTATCTTTGTTTACGACTTCTTCCTTTGCAGACTTGTTCCACTTCTTTAATAACTAGATTAAAAACAACATTCAGACACATCCTGCCTGCACAGGGAGACATAATCCATTGTTGCTAAAAAGAGTGCAAATTTTGCTCGCTTTAATTACCTTCAGCTCTGTTTTTGTCTGGATCTCAGCCACCAGAAATTAGTGCGGTACTGAAAACAGTACACACTGACATTCGATTGAGCAATTTTTTAAAAGGTCAGCGTATTAGGCAAGTGAGTCCCAATATGAGATAATGAATAACAACTGCCATCCTCCGCTTGGCTGTCAATGTGGATGTAGTAGGAAAGAGAGCTGATATCAGCTATGACAGAATTTCTGCTTTACATATTCGGAGCTCTTAGATCTCAATTGCTTTGGAACTTTTCAGTCCATATAGGATCCTTTATATGTGACTAAAAGCTCAGCATAGGCATATATTAATGTGTTGTTAGGACATTTATCTCCGGATATCTTTTGTGCTTCTATGCTTTCGCTCTCTGCTCGAGAGATCAAAGTGGAATGAAATTCTATCTTGGGACTAATAACCATTAAGGTAATGTAAGAAAGCTGGTTTTTATACATAGATCATTTAGTGACTTCCTATAGCAGCAGTTTATGTGCTTTATATTCTCTTCAACAGCATACTGTCATGAATTCAATTTCCTCCTGTGATGTATAATAACACGGTGAGAGCCATACTGTATGTAAATCCGGCGCAAACATGCCAAAACTTAAAGGAAAATTCATTACATGATTTTCACATGAGTAACTGCAGCCTATTAAGAGTGCCAGATCTGAGATTGGGAGCATTTCGATTGCCTCTCAGATGCTCTGAACATGTCGATGGAGAGCCGGTGGCTCACAGCTAACGGTGCTTCCCGTGTTTACCTGAGGGGGAACAGGAGAGGCCCGAGAAAATGACTCTACATCTAACTTGATTTAGATTTTACTTGAGTTTATGGTCTCATTCACCAATTTCAAGTCTTCTTCAATCCAGCAAGATGTAAATTTAATAAATTATGGTCAATTTAGAGTAAAATAGACCATAAAGTGGAGTATGCTTCAGGACGGGCTTGCTTTGATTTACCAGAGCCGTATACGGCGTCTCTACGTCACTCCTCCACTTTCCAAATATTTCATTATCTTGGCAGACAAGCGAGCCAGTGAGAGTGAGTATTATTCAATCAAACTGTTATCCTTGGGCAATTTATTTGGTTCAATTTTATGCTATGAATAATTTCTTAGAATTTGTGAATTTCTTTCATTCAGTGAGGGAAAATATCCCATTGAAGAGATCAAATATTTTTTACATACTCTAATTCATGAGCAGGCCAGTGTGTGTAATATAAACTCAATGTTGATGAAATGCACCGATAAGCACATTGGGAACTCTTTTCAAATTTCCCACCAACTTCTTTTAAGTTTGTTTACTTCAGAATATTAAAGTATTTTGCATAATTTGTCACTTCTGATGTATCCATAATTACTGACTACATTCAGGTCAATAAACATATTGCCACAATTTTATGATAATTATAAAAATATGTTTTTGGGCTGCTAATACTACACCCTCTTTCCCCTAGTGACTTATTTGGCTAATACTTGTTATGTATACATTGTAAGTCATGTTTTATGATGGTAAACTAGATAAAAGCTAGTTTCCACTACATCCCTCCTTTAGTTGCAGTGTGACTTACAGCAGAGAGAAATGATGCACATGGCATGGAGTTTGTTCTCTGATCGGATGTACGAGCGCATGCAGATGACGAAGATGTTGCCGAAGCAGGTGGTGGCAGAGACCACCCACACGAAGACCCTCAGCACGATGTTGGCCAGCAGGTCCTCGAAGGACGAGATGCCGTCGGTGTTGGGTTTGCAGCTGCGCACATGAGGAGCGTAGCCGCAGTACTGGAATTTCTTGAAGTAGCTGGGATTGTAGATTAAAGAAAGTGTCAAGTTAAGCAAAAGATAAGGGAGTCTATTTATGTACAAATGCAAGATTTAGTGTCCTTACAGGCTGGTGTGCACTCCACACTCTGTTACAGGGTTTTTCTTTTCATAAATTGAGACAGTTGGAAAGTAAAAAACAGAAAGGTTTGGGTGGTTTTGACTGAGGATTTGATTTTGTGATTATATACAAGGCAAGGGAGATTCATTTTCACTCTGTTGCATCCATTCCAGGACCTGCATGGGCTAAGGCTGTTTTACCCACAGAGAAGATGGATTACACTAAACTTGACTTAATCATCTTCCAGTCAGAGGAGAAGCCAGACCGTCTCGATAAGCCTCGCTCTGGACTCAAGAGTAGAAATACATGTGAAAGGCCTCCAGTCAACGCCAAAAGACGAGGATTAACAGTACCAACATAGAACATGACAATGGCGTACTTACATATGAGTCAAGTATTTGAGAGGTTCAAACATCCTCCGTTGTATGTTTCCAATTTCTACCCCTTCTATGCTCCTTGAGAATATAAAGACATACAAACAGAGACACGCTATAATGTCCTCAAATGCACAACAGGTGTTTTCCTCAAAAGGTTCTCAACCAATACTTTTTCAAGGACTGAAAAGGAAAAAAAATTAAATTGGACAAAATACATTTTCTTTCATTTGTTAATCCAGAATGTGACGCTTGTGTCACAAGAAGAAAGAGTGCATACTATCCGAATGACAGTAACGAACCATCATGCAGCCAATGCTGTGACCCTAACAAAATGGGACACGGTTGCAAGAATAATTACCTCCTCCCATCCTATCCAGTGCATTTGTATGTTTGCTATGTATGAATTCAGCCCTTTTATAATCTTAGCTCCCACACAAAGTGCTTTACAACACAAGTCAGCCTTTACCCATACAAACACATTCTACACTGTTGGCAGAGACAACCTACAAAGAACATACTGCAGTTATTTTTAGACATTACACACCCTGAGCACATCAGCACATGCATTCATTGAGTGATGTCAGAGAGAGATGTCAGAGCAAGGAACTGCCCATGGACCGGGGAGCACTTGGGGGTTCGGTGCCTTGCTCAAGGGCACCTAGGCAGTGCCCTAGTTTTAAATTAGTCGTCCAGTGTGTAGCAACATATACTTACAATGACTTAAGTTTATGCAACTTGTCAAAGTGGTCAACTTGGAGCTCCACGATGGGATTGTATGATATATTTCTAGAAGATAAGAAACCCTCAATTAGATAACATGGAAATAAATCCCATTTATTATTGACATAATTTCTGCATGTCAAAATTGTTCATGCACATGCATATCTTGAAGATGTGTCCTTGCATTATTCCTCTTTAACTGGCATCTTAATATCCACCCACTACACTGTTGAGACTCCTACACCTTAAAATTATCCTTTTGATTTTCACAAGATCTAAACCCAATTTATGTTACTATTTATGTTCTGCATCTCATCTGAAATAGTCATTCATGTATTAACAACCAGTAGATAAATCTCTAGATAGTAGTTGTTATAAGTAGTGGCGGAGTCCGTCATTCCTACACTGGATTCAGATTGCATAAGAATGAGGGGTTCACAGGAAAAATGTAGCATGTAATCCAACTCAATTTTATATAAATGAACATTGTTCACTCTCTTTACAATGTCTTAAGTTACTGCTAATGAAAACCCAACACCTACTGCTTGGGGGAAACACATGGTGGCTTTTATTGTGAAGCAGCCATAAGTGTTGGTCACCGTGGTCAGTACTAATCTAGGAGAGATTATTTTGTATTTACTAATCACTTTGAACCTCTATCTGCTCTAAACATACTTCCCATTCTATGGCTAGTCCCTGACAGCAACAACAAAAACTCCTGCTAAATATTCATGAAATAGCAATGCTTGAAAACAGATCTGTACATCATGGTGTAATTGTGTAAGCAGAACTCACAGTTGCAACAAATCCCCCAGCAAGACAAAAAGATTGGGAGGGATCGCCACCAGTCTGTTGCTGGATAGATCCCTGCACGCCGAGACAAATCCAATCGGTTCGACAAAAACACAGAACAATAAACAGATATTGATTACTGGGTTTCTGACAGATGTCCACTGATCTTAAAAAAAAAATCCAACTTGTGTAACTCTTCCTAAGTACAGGGTGAGGATTGCATAATACACTAACAACAACACTCCTGCAGTAAATGCTGCTCTATAACTTGCTATATTCTGCTGTGGGTTACATGTTTAAAAGGAGAGTGCTATGGTGACCTGCTGATTCATTGTTGGTTTAGTTTTTTTCATGGGATTTGTTGGCAAAAAGAAAACGGAATATTGTCAAATGATTGGACGGGCTGATCACTGATTGCTGTCGCGATGTAATGAGAATTTCAACAAATGTAACAAAAAATGTTTTTGAAGAAGATTATAAACTCCAACTTTAATAACCTGCTGAATTCATCCTCTGGAGACCATAGATAATCCTAACAAATTTAACAAAAATTCAACCTGTAGATTTTAGGAAACTTTTTCAAGGGGAAATTTGGGGCTGACACAAAGGTCAGACACTCGGCAAAATAATCCTTGGGCACCAAAAATGTATCTACAATCTGCCTAGAAGTGCGTTTTTCACACGTTTTTCTGCAGATAGCACATCTTCAGAATGCTTCACATTTAAATTGCATCGCATTTAACACATAACGCATTTGCACAATGAAACAAAATGAACTTACAATTCTCCAAGCTTTTGTAGGACTGAAAAAGCGTGTTCGTGTATATGGCTGATCCTGTTCTGCTGTAGAACACTGGAGAAAAGCAATAAATAAAAAATTTAAAATACTATTATCATACTTGTTGATCTACCTATTCACATCTAATGAAATGTCAGCATTGATTCCATTCATAAGCTTATCACATTTAAAGAAACGGAGAGTGATTTGCAGGCATATCACAAAAATTCAGTCAAAATCTTGAAGCAAAAACTTTGCCATGGATTGAATTATGTAAATATATACTTACAGAACTGTCAGCATACTGCATGAGCAGAATGAGACATTTCCAATGTTTTCAATTAGATTTCCTTCCAAATCCCTGCAGGAGCATGTTATGAAATGTACACACAGAGAGGAATTATCAGACACATACTGCGCACAAACGCACACACGCACGCACACACACACAGATCATTAAATGACATGTCAGCTTTTGATATCTTGACATCCTACTTACAGCCAGTTCAATCTTGGCATTTCCCGACAGATGTCATCCAGCTTTGCCAAAGAGTTGTTCATCATAACCCTGTCAATCAGCGAGACGCAATGTAACAATGTGTAGTGCACTTTTCAGAAGGAGCAACACTCACTCAATCTCAACAGATCAAAAAAAACTCTTAAAACCACAATATTACGTAGATGTTTGGACAAGGAATCACATCAACGCAAAACGGGAAAATGGTATAGAAGAAAAACTCACAGTAAAACGAGGGAGTTCAGTCCGGAGAATGTCAAGGACGATATTTGATGGATATCGTTATTTTCTAGGATCCTTCAACAAATAACAGGATATGTAGGAGAACAAAATCCACTTTATCAGTATGAATTATTACAAAACTGGACTTCTATGCCTATGGCAAATCAATATTTACAGAAAGTATAATATCCTAATATACTATGCATGCAGCTTTTTATATTCTTTATCCGTCGGTGAAGAATACACATACAACCACTCCAGCTTGTGCAGGTCCTGGAACACCCCCGGCATGAGGACAGATATCTTGTTATAGCTCAGATATCTAAGAGAGGAAAGACGAGTTTGGTTTGGTCATCATGCTGAATAGACTGATAGGAAAACTTGTAACCTTTTGCTTTTATTGCACTTACTGTATATCTATGCAAATACAAATAAAAAGGTCTGCTCACTGTTGTTCCGAGCAAAGTGATGTTTCGAGCAAATGCTCTTTTACAGACTGAGTGATATCAACAGATACGCCGTCTTTAAATGCACACTCTTGTCACATGATAATACTTGTGAACCACACTACCCACACAAAACGCAATATACTAAGAAAAACACATAATATATAGGTAAGAACCTCACAGCTCATAAGAAAAACATCAAGCCAGGCGCTGTCATGCCTATATCTATATGGACAGAATTAAATAGAGGCGCCTCTATATCCAACGTAGGATGTCCCAAAAACATATAGGAACAATAATCTACACTACCAAGCCCACGGATATTGACAAAGGAAAGGAACAACATCTACATCTGGAGTCAGCCAAGTACATGGGAAATCTCACCATCCTACATCTCTTAAGAAGAGCCTCCCTATCTCACAATTCAACCGGATCAGACGGATTTGCAGTTTTGTTGGGGCTATTCAGGAAAAATCTGCGGTTTTCCTGGACGGCTTCAGAAAACTAGGCTACGGGGAAGAGTGGATCATTGAGGCGGCTACACGGTTCGACAACAAATCTCAAACTGAATGTCAGAGCAGAGAGAAATCAAAGGAACCTGACTCCGGAATGACCTGCTGTCATTCAGCGCTCACCGGTAGGTAAAGACATTGAGGGTGTTGTAAAGAAACATTGGTATGTTTAGATACAGATCCTTCACTGAAAAGGGTTTTAACATCCCTTCTTGTGTTGTGTAGCACTAGTCCTGATTGGACAGCCTTTGCAGTTTGCTGGTGAGAGCAGACACCCCATGTAGCCTTACATTGTCCTGTCTGTAATACTGAGTATATATAGCATTTCAGTCAGAAACACTTACACCAAGGAATTGACTTGGCAAATGTTTACACATGTCGATAGAAAAAAGGGAGCTCTCAGAGAATCCAAGCAGCAGTGAGGATTCTGCTCAGAGAACTATTCTCCCCTAAATAAACACACATGCCAGTTACATCCACAGTAATATAAAACATACTAAATAAGGAGGTGGTTGGCGATGCAGCAGCACTGCCATTTGCTGTTTTAGTGTTTTGTACACTTGCACACTACCTAATAAATTAATAGTGAGAAGTGACAGTCTATCATTTTATGAGATACTATACCATGACTATTACCACGCCATAAAAAAAACCTTTAAAAAAAGTCTATGGCCTTCCTCAATTTAAGAAATTGTTCGTCGACTCACACACGATTTTGTCTACAGATCTGTAAAACTGAATTACTGCACGAAAAATCATGCAAAAGAACCAATTTAAAACTTGTGTTTTCCAAAGATGTGCTCTTCATTTTTTCGTGTGAAATAACGTCATTCAGCATGAAAAAAAGCAAAAAGAACGACTCATTAGACGACCAAAGGAGGGCCGCTCTAAAAAGTCAAAGTATAGTGTGTCATAAAATATAGTTAAGAATAGTGTGTATATAAATGTTGTTAAACACGTTATATAAGTACCATGTAATAGTACTACTATCAGTACTTTATTACTGAATGGCCTGTGTCAGAAAAATGAAGAAACTTACAGTCTTGTTAGATTATAGAGCCCTCTGAATGCGTCAGGACTCACATCTCGAATTCTGTTGTGCTGGAGATATCTATATAAAAAAAGCACAAAACTGTTTGTGAATCATTTGGATTCCAAATAAACAATGAAGAAAAATATTAGATAATCATTGAGCCTGTTGGTTTAATTAAAGACACACATACAATGCTTGAAGTTGATTGTTTAAGTTTACACAAAGAAATATTCATAATTGGGAATTCAGCCGAGCTGAGAGAAATTTGTATCCGATACCCGACTGTCATGGTCGAATACTTGGCATCCTCGTTTATAGCACATACTGTGAGTTCAACAAACCACCGCTGAGAGCTGTGTTTTGACTCTTTGTGTATTTCACACACCTGGTGAGTATTTCTGATGTTTATTTATGCACATCTCTGGGAAGTTTTTCAATCCGGTCAAATATTCAGAGCAGTCTGAACAGTCTGAGGGAGCCTAAGGGTTCCTGGCGGAGGATTAGTCTTATTCTCCTGACGCCACGTGGAGGTGGTACTGTGTGAGGTTGACAAACAACGCAAGCCGGCAATGAATGGGTCCATGCTCGGAAGAGAACAATTGCTTCATTCAAAGTTCCCAGCAGTCCTCGTAGCTGTATACACTTATCAGCTTTGTAGTTGTGGAACTCATTTATTTCCATTTTCAGTCAAAGGGCGGTCATCATCTCGGCTCTTTGGTATCAAACAAGGCAGTATATGCTTCGCTGAGTTAATGTTGTAGGCTCCCATGCATGCTACAAATACTTATTCACTATATATGGTGCTTCTCAGACCTAGAAAGAAGACTGACTAAAGGACAATAAAGGATAAAATGCAATAAATAAATAACAATTAAAAGAATACATGGTGTGTATTTGTATGCAATCCATAATTCATGGAACACTCACAGTTTTTTTAGGCTCTGGTACTGGGAGAATGTGTTTGCTTTCAGTTTCTGGAGCCGGTTCCTTTGTAGCGACCTGAAGGATAAAAAGAGGCTCAACATCAGAATATCAAATAAGGTTTACACTGCAAACAACCATGATCATGATTCAGTACTGTTGCATTTGAACAGCTGATCAGCTCCTCCTCTGTCAAGGTTATAATTCTAACATTCAGGTTTGAATTATTCAAATTTCTAACAAATGGGGCTTTTGAGCCTGTGGATCACATTTCCATTAACCTAGTCGCAAAAGACAAGCCCTTGTAAATCCAAAAGTAGCCCCCTTTTATAACACATCATGTAAAACTCACATTCATCAGTGGCTGTACACAGACATTCGGGTATCTTGTTTCTTTTAACCCACGAAATGTGTAACTGTAACAACCCGGTCAGTTTTGGGACTGCCTAGATCCGAAAACGTGTGATTCAACAAGCCCCTTCCATACAGGCTCAGAATATATCTGCCACCATCTGAGCAGCTCCACCCTCGGCTTGAGAACTACCTTTGCAAAGGTGCATCATATCATCATTTCTCACAAGCCAATCAGAGAAGACTTGGCTTAAAGAGACAGGCGCTAAAACAGAGCATTTCTTATTGACATTAAAGCATGTAAACATGTTCTAGCAAAACACAAAATACAAGTATGAACCTGAAAATGAGCATATGTCCATACTGACTGACAATTAAATAAGTCAGTCAGATATATAATATTTCAAAACTTTAAATATATTCTCACATTTAGATAACACAGCAAAGAAATAAAAACTAAATTGCCCAGAGTCATTTACCAGAAAATCGATTAACACGGCAAAATATGGCCTCCTGGTGTTCTTAATACCATTTTATCATCTCAAAGTGATTCAGCTGATGAACCAGTGGATTTATCTGTTGATTCCAAAGCTTTTAACGGATTAAAGGCTGATTAAAGGCTCAACCCTTCACACACTGCCACGTCAAACACTTGGAAGAGGACAGTTTCGGGGCAATGTAGGATTTTCTCACTGTTAACACCGTCTCCTTGGGCTCACCGTTCTCTAACATTGTATTTCTTGGCCAAGGTCCATTTCTGTGGCATCACTTAAAGTACTCGGAGGAGTATTGGTTAACAAACAAAAACACTTATGCTTTCATGGTAAATAACGTAAGAGGCCTTTTTAAAGTCCTTCACCCTTGGCATGCTTTTACTTTGGGAGTGTCTGACATTGTTGTGTCTCCTCCCTGGTGTTGTGATTGTACTACGTGATTCTGTATGACCTGGGTTACACTGTATAAGGCAGAGTGAATGTAAATTACTTTAACCTTTTGGTATATTTCTGTCCATGCTCACATGCTGTGCCAAAAGCTTCTCTCATCAAGTTGTTATATAAGTGGAGATTGACCTTAATAAGTACAAGTTTTCCACTTCCCTTATCAAAGCATGTCGGGCCTCATGCAAGAACATTAAAAGTACTCTTATCCTAAATTTCTCGTACTGATTTTTCCGTGAGGTTTGCTCGTTAACCAAACTCTCTAAACTGCACAGACTTGTCATAAATCCCTTGATTCAGCCTGATGAATTTCACTAGTTCATGAGGAAGTGCGCGTTTCAGAGATTTGATCATTAGCATTAGATAGGCAATGATTAGTTGATAAGTTGATTGACAGAAAATTAAACTGCAACTATTTCAATGATCAAGTAGTTTTTTTTCAAAGCAAAAGGACCGAATATTTGCTTTTTCCAGCTTCTCAAATGTGAAGATTTTGATTTCCTCTAATGTGAACTGAATATCTTTGGGGTTCGGACTATTTGTTGGACAAAGCAAGACATTTGAAGACGTCACCTTGAACTGGTGACATCTTCAAATGTCTTGCTTTGTCCAACAAATAGTCCTAAAAAACTGATTTGCTACTAAGACTTGCTGATTTCATAATATGATCTTTGTGCTAGAACAAACTGTTGAAGTGTTGTTCAAGGTTTGTGAAGATGGCGCTGTGTGAAAAGCAATATGTGTGTATGTTATCCATGTGTGACAAGCTTATCGTAAATGACCCTGTACCACCACACTGCTTGTGTTTAGCAGTATATATGACAAAGACTCAGAGGCAGACCCTTGAGCAGCCTTGATCCATGTACTCTGTATGTCTTTCAACTCTGTTCCTTCTTGCAAGAATAAATGTCCTGTGATTAATGATTTTTACATCGGCCTCGAGTGAACAGACAGCATTCAAATTGCACTTAGTGACCACTCAGAGCACTTTACAACAATAGACAGCATTCACCCATTCACTAACAACACGGGGAAGGCGGGACCCCCGATTGCCACCGGGTATTTCGCACAATGAGGAAGAGTCAAGTTGCTTGTGAAAGTAACAAATAAACAGATAGATTACCAGTCACTGGTGGGAGTCTGAACTCTAGTGCTCTTTTGTTCTAAAACAAAATTCACATGGATGACAAAAGTCTCTTGCTTTGGTCAGCTGCGCTTTAAACTCACAATGAGAGACGGGCTCTTTGACCATTTCTAGGCAGTGAGGTTCAGAAGGGAGAAAAAATGCAAAATACTATGCCACCCAAATATGCCATAAAGCAAATGATTCCGTGCCAATGACAAAGCACTTGTAAGAGATAATGAGGACAGGCCAATCTGCCTGGTAATTGCTTTGATATTCCAGGCCACATAAAAACAGCCCAAATTGCCCCATAAAGTCTGAAACAGGCTATTGTACTTCCATCAAACATCGACAAACTGTAATAACTACAGGGTTACATGTCCTTGTCTACATGTGAAATAGTATTTTGTACCATTGTCCCAAATTAATGAAATCTTGAAATATAAACTTCTCCAGATGTAAGAAACCAAGTGTGTGAGGCTGGCTCTCATAAGTCTTTCAATGACGTACATTACTCATCAGCTGAATGTGAGGGGTTTGCATTAGTCACTATCACCAGAGATTCATCAGTAATTCTGGCTTCAAGTAAATCCGGCTTCTCACATGCTGTGGCAGTCACAGCCAGGAATGGAGGCTTTCTGAGGATGAATTGAGCTTTAAGATGCCACAAAAACTCACATCATGGTGACATTCATTGCCACCACTGGGATGTCTTGAAGCTCTGTGCCGTCACAGTCCAGCTCCAGGTCTCGGCACTGGCAGAGCTCAGGAATGACACCCAGCACTGGAGAAATGGAGGGGAGAGAGATGGGACATCAGAGGACACTTCAATCAACTGGTCATGCACCGTCAAAGTGTCGAGACTTGAGCGGTTTGGCTCAATGCCAACTTTGTCCTGCTGGAAGAAGTCCTGAGATTAAAGTAGCAGAGAAAACAATAAAAGCAGAATTCAGTAAGAGACTTGCAGGACAAACACAAACACAGGTTGGAAATAGTTGATAAAACAACCAGGTTTCTCAATATTGCATATTGAGTATTCCTGGTTTAAGACAGCTTTGATTATCTTTCATTAAATCCCAGTATGGATATGCGATGAAATGGAGCAGATAAGATTATCTAACCAGGCATTCCTGAATCCAATGAATGCAAATTATCTTTGAGGGCACATACGTATTAACCGAATGCTTCAATTTGATAGGCAAACTTATTTTCCTTTGCGGAGATTATTACACATTTGAGACAAGTCATGTTTAGCTCCCCTCCCAGCGAACTGGATGTAACAGAGTAACTACTTACTGAGGCCAGTAAATAAAAAAATAAAAAAATAAAAAAAAAATGATCGGAATATCCTGAGCAGGTCCACACGAAAGGAAAGGTATTTTTGATAATTAGATATTTGCTGAATAAAACCATTATTTGCACAACTCTTTGCTCCAGGTATGCTTACTTTCAAATAAACCCAATTTGCCATCTAATAAAACAAAGAAAACCATCTCCTTACAGACAAAGATGAACATGGATCAACAATGGGGGAACTGCAGAACACATATCTTGTTGATAGTGCTTCAGACTCACTGTGAATGACACTAGACTCTATTGCCCCTCTGAAAGAGAAGATAATAAAACCAAGGAAGTTCGCTCCATGTTGCAAACATCACCACAACTTGAAAGGATATGGCGTTCCACCAATTTGTAAGAATCTCGGATAGTTTGGTGATATAGTCTTGAAACATAAACGAAGGCCCGCCGTAATGCCAGAGAAAAATAATAAAGACAAATAGGAACCCCAGGTTTCTCTTCAGCACTGTAGCCAGGCTGACAGACCTCAGTAGTAGTGACTTCATGACCTTCTTTAATGATAAGATTATAACTATTACAAACAAGATTAATAATCTCCTGCCCTCAACCAGTACCGATCAATCCTCAACTATAGGAACCTTAGAAACAGTTGTAAACCCTGATATATATTGTGATGGCTTTTCTCCCATCGACGTTGACCAATTGACTTCAACAATTTCTACGTCTAAACCTTCTACTTGTCTCTTAGACCCTATCCCGACTAGGCTGCTTAAAGAAGTTTTACCTTTAGTTAGCACCTCTTTCCTAAACATTATCACAGTCCTTCAAAGTAGCTGTAATTAATTCTTTTTTTGTTGCGTTTTGTTGTTACTTTTTATCTGAAGCTCCATGATGAGAGCATAATGCATCCTGAAGTTCAAGTTGTCGCCAACCGGCCCCCATCCCATCTCCACAAAGGAAACCAACCAAACCAAGTCACTATGACACGATCCCTCACCGGCTTCCCACCCACAAACTGTATGTGATTAGGCACCCGTGCTGAAGCTCAACAGCAGCTGGTGATAAAAGCCAGACCGCTGTAGGCTCTTGCGCTGCCCACGAGTTCCTTTAATAAGAAAACAATCTGTAACACAGCAGCGATGACAACAAAAAGAAAGGAAAAAAAAATCAAGGACAGTTATATCACTGCCAGAGCAGTGACAGGTAAAAGTTATTTTCAGGAGTACCAAATTGACCAATCTTTTAATAATGCAGTTTAGAAACAGGGCAGTACTTACAGCACACATCGGACTTGGTCCCAGTGTTATAGCTGGGCATTCCAAAATAGTTGTCGAAAAGATTGGGCCACCCGTTATTATCTCCTGGAAAAGAATACAAGACAGACAAAGTCAGCGATTACAACCCATCATTTTTCCATCAAAACCAAACATCTTTTTTGAAGTATAATTTGAGGTAGTCGAAATGTCCCTCTCACTCCGTTGTGATTCACAGAATGACATTCACCTCGCCTACAGCAACACAAAGGCGAGATGAATGTTCTGTTGCTTTATGACGAATGGAGGTATAATGCAGTAGCAAACATTTATTCTGATGTTTATTTGTACAGGGATCGGTATGGAGCATAAACCAATGCCACACACCACAGAGTTTATCTTTCAACTCAAGGTGTGCTACTTCCAGGACAGTACAGAAGCAACTCAGCTTCCACTTCAATCCTTGTGAGACTTTGATGCAGCGTTTGAGGTGGTCCAACCAAACTGCTGTAAAAACCCTTTACCCTGCCCAGGCAGTCTCGTCATTTTCCAACTATCCATCAATTTTCTTCAAACCCTGGTGCTTTATGGTGACTTTCAACTTCAGCCAGGAACTAATCCTTAAGTCACTGTGCTGCTGTGTCTCAGGTAACTGTCGTTTCATCTTTATGAGCCAGCCATTTCACAAAGCCTCTGCTACTCTGTCAAATGTATTACTATCGTACATATATGGTGGAAGTTAATGTGTAAGCAACATAAGTTAACTTTGTTGGGGTTAAAAATGAATACACCTGAAAATCTTGCTCTTGCTCAAATTTAAGATAAAGAGGAATTTTCCTTGAGTAATATATCAACCACAGCGATAATAACAATACTCATTAGACCGCTAATCAGACTCTAGTGTGACCTGCAAGAAGGTATTCACCTTTTTCATTACCAAGGATCTTGTGGAATGGATGAATAATTCCATATTAAATGGACATAATGATTTCGTTATTACAGTTTCCTTAAGTCCTACATTCATTCCAGGCAGTTGTATGAAACATTCAGATTCAGTGCTCATGGTGAAATTCAAAGAAATAACTCCAACGATCATGTGAAATAACTCTGGAAGCAATACCATGAGGTTGACTTTATTTATATGTCTCAACAAGTGTCAAATGGATTGCCAGGAAATTTGGTACAGATACCTAGGTCCAACCCGATCTCATGAGAAGACATATAAATAGATATTTCCGCCTACGCATTTTTGGCTTTTTATGTGTCATTTATATGCCACTTTTTCAGGTAATTTATATAACATGGGGTTAAAGTTGTAAAACAGTTTTTTGCGTATCACTTAACACCACCTCATTACCGTGAAACATATGTGGTTAGGTCTAGGCAACAAAACCGCATAGTTAGGTTTCGGAAAAACAATATGATTCGGCTTCAAAAAACTATGTCAACTAAATAAAATACATAAACAACATAACATAAGTACGGAAAGAACAACAAATCCCATCTATGCTTTTACCAGCCCACTATAAACGGTCTCTCTCGCATTTTTTACTGCATCACATGTTGAGAGCGCATCATAGTTACGCATTTATTGCACACTAAATTACCTATTTTCATGCAGCCTGTGATCAAACCCACAGTAGTGAAACCCTGCCCTCTCTCTGTCACTCACTGTGCATTCATGTTTAGCGTTTTACAATTAGGCGATCTGCGAGCAGCAGAACTTTAAAAAGGAGACAGGAGGTCTCTTACAGATTTGGATGTGAAACGCTAATCCCACAAAGCACAGTTGATTGAATTATGCACTCCATCAGCGGTGATAAAAAGACAGCACTCCTGGCACCAATTGATAAGCTTCCCATGCATATGTGTTTGGATAAAGGACACTCCAGTTTCAAACACTGACCGAATTGAGAGATATAAAACTCTGATTGTCTCTAATTAACTCTGCTTTTTGGACATTGGTCCATTGGTGGGAAACAAAGATAAGGGAGTTTGCATGTTCTAGCTGTGCCTGCATGAGTTTTGCTCATGGTGCTCCAGTTTGTGATAAGCTGCGACCAATTTGCCTCTATGAAACCAGAAGCCTCGAATGAATTCAGAAGTGAGTACGCTATTGATTGACAAGATGGCTTGTTCGTCCACCCTTCCTTTTTCCTCTTCTGATGTGCTGGTTTTTCATCTTGTAGGATTTAATAATGTTGTCATGGCTACTTGGACTCTATTTCCTGATGTCTTTGAAGCACATCTCCTTTTAAATACGAGTTCTTATTTGATCATGTTATGATAGCTCCCTGGACATAGTATTGACTTTTGTATTGGCAGTAATGACTTGTTATACAGTTTAATTAATGAATGCTATGATGGAAACTGCTATGAAATGGATCCCTATGCTGCATGAAAAATTGCATTAAAAAGGTTATTTTTATGGATTCGGTTAGTCTTGTTCTGATGGAAGCAGCATTTGTTATGTTGACGAAATGATGATTTTCTGATGCAATCCAATGCAGTACAGCGACTGTTTTATATAGAAATCAAACAGTATCACGAGAGACAAAAAGAGAAGTACACACACAAAGTTTCAGACAGCACAGCACCACAGCAGACATATCATGTGAAAAATGTGTTGAAATATGTTAAAAACTGTTTGCTTTAATAAGTGCACAGAGACAAAAGTATAATACAGTTACAGAAGAGTTTTGTGCATTTAAAGTAGTTAGAATCAATATTTTATCAATTGTATCAAATGACAATGTGAAAATAATGTGAACATGTGAAATGGGTCACTCGTGGTCATGAACCTAGAGAGAATTATCTCTTGAATCTGCAGCTCCTCTCAGCTTTACGGCGAGTTTCGTTTTGTTTAGCTGTCCCGCCAGTTTACGGTTTTGGTTCACTCCCACCGCTCTCATGGCGTAATTTTAAGCTCTAAAAACCTGCTGCACCAAACAGCAGACTAACAGAGTTAACTGGGGAACAACATGGGGCATTTAGCAGCTAAAAAGCCAGATATTTCCCTCAGGAGTTGTAAAAAAGAGCAAAAAAAAGATGACTTACATTCATCAAGTGGACAGAAACCCAACTCAAAATGAATGAAAATGGTGCTCAGTAACTGCTGGATGTGTAAATAAGCAACTGTTTGCTAACAAGTATATGTTATTGTCTTAAAATATGGATGGTTCAATGTGTTCACAACTGGTTCCGCTTAATAAGTTATTAATGTTAATGCTCACATTTCTCAGATTTTTCTACAGCCTATAACTCACCTCAGATTTAGGAGTGATGTTTTTTATGTTCTTTGAACAAGCCTGTTGTTGCAGTCGCGTACTGAAAGGAGCTTTGAGCCAAAAGCTGCATGATGCGAGACTGATCTGTCAGTCATTGAACTTGAAAAATAAATGTCTGCTTGCTATCCCAATGGGAGTTGCTCACCTGCTGACCTGCCTCTTATGTGTTGTCTTTGTTATCCAGATTCAATCACTGAAAAGCTAATTAGAATTTAGTGTCCATGAGGATTCGCTGTCATGTTTGCGTACTAAATCAGACAAAAACAGATTGCCAGATTGGTTCCATTTAATCCTTAGTGGGTTGTTGTTTAGACATTGATGTCACGCAAGACTTATTAGACTCATTAAAGCTCTCATGAGATGGTTTCCTGTTGAAACAGGACTAAAAACCTCAGGTGTGAAAAACAGTATTCACACGTTATGGAGGTATTTTGATATAATATGACACAAATCACACCTAGTCAAGCCAGGAAGTACAGTGGACACAAACATCACGTTTACACAAGACAACAGAAATACAATGGAAGGTTTATTATTGACTGCACTTCAAAAGGAATTATCAAAGTTGATAGGAATATGAGTCACACCAGTCACTGGAAAGAAGCTGAGGTTTACTAGAACCCTTCACCAAATGATCAAGTATGTGCCAACAAGCACTGAGGCAACAGACAGGAAAGGTCTGAAAAGCTCACAACAGCTTGAAGTTGGTAAGATACAACTGAGAAATAAACAGGAGAGAAGTAGTGTTCTTCAAATCCAACAATTCATCAGACCATACAGACTTGTTTTGTTCTTACATAACCTTGTTTGGATGCTAGCAAGACAGAGCTGCTAACACTAGCCTAAACTGTGATACCAGCCAGGATTGACTTAAACAGAATGGGGAAATACTACACAGTGAACACTCTAGTCATGAATGTGGCCTTCAAAAACAAAGTAACATGGAAACCCACAAACCGAATGTATGGTATGTATTTCGGCAATTATGTGCTAATTGAGCTGAAATGTAATCCTCCTATCGTAGGTAATTAGGTAGATAATGTTTGCAACTTACGTTGGAGCAGGCAAACACCGTTTATCCCATTCGATACACTTTTGCTCATGTGTTTTTGGTGTTGGACCTGCTGTGCTTCGTTACGATTGCTAAGCTACGATTGGACAATCAGTGAGGGGAGGGTTTAAGCCAACTTTCAATTGCATCATAAAAAGACAGAAAGTTTTAATATTTTTTGGGGTGGTTTTTACAATCCATTCCTTAGTCTTCAAAATTGTTTTGTCTGGAAGTAACCTACATTTATGAAAGCCATGCATGGTTAAGACACTTAAGACACCACACACGGGAAATCTAGCTTTTTGCAATTAGTCACTGCCACCCAATGCATTGAAATATTATATTTAGTTTATATCATTTTCAGTCAGCAGTGGAATTAGAGGGGAAGAAAACCATCAATGTAATTCCACGGTTTGATTAACCATGAAAGTGAAATTATCAGACTTTCACTGAGTCACTTTGAACTTTGCCTTCAAAAGGCAGATTCATTTGTGACTCATGATATCATTGTGATGATAGACACAAGTTAAATAGCACAAAACGATTGATGCTCAATGAAACCAATATTTGAAAAATTGATGCCGTCATTGCGGTTCAGAGATCAAATGCCACAGTGATACAAAGGGAGGAGGAGGGGGAGAGACTGTGGGAACATTGTGATGTAGCCTGCACACTATTTGAAGTCAAACTCAAAGAGATAGACATGAAATGCCTGCAAACACACACACACAGGACTTAGAGAAATAATTCATTTCATTTCTTTCTGATAA